ATTTCAAGTAGAGCATATAACCTTAACAGTTTTTTTAAATGGTATCATATTACGTTAGAGGCCCTATGCTCCACAGGGAGATGAGAATAAGAGAGATAAAGATTATGTAACGTGCTCCAAGCTACACAGTACTTCAAGTATTCTACAATATATTTAATTTGCTCCGCACAAAACTAGGTAACACCTTGTCTGAAACTACAGCTCACAGACTTCTATGTGGGTTCCAACTCAACGCCCGCCCTACTGTGCTGCTACATTGTTTCTATAATACGTAGTTAATTCATCATTTTCAAGTATACCTCAACATATTTACTTTCCTCTCTACAGACCTATATCATATCGTGTCTGGAGCTACAGCTCATGGACTTACCTATATGAGAGTTCGAGTGCAGCGTCTATTATACTACTACTGCCACACAGTGTTTTTTTTTTTATTTTTATATATTATAAAGAAAACAAGTCCACCTTTTAATTGCTTAATGTTTTTTGTTTTGGCGCATTATCATTTGTTCTATTAAAGATATAGGACAAATGACATATATAGGACAAAGATATATTTCCATAAAAGTAATGTAGCTTATATTTATATAATTCACTTTATAAATGAATGTTAAAAAGTTCAGGTTAAATAATTTTTTTCATTAATAAAATAACTTGCAGGAGTTTACTATAACTCATATATAGCTCTTATATATACATGTATAATCATATGAATTTAATAAATTTTACTTTAATGATTACAATAATATTAGAGATTTTTTTACAGCATTCAAATGCTAGCTTATAGCATTTATTTTATTTAAGGTAATGAAAATGCTATAAATCAGCATTTATGTGTTAGTAATTTCTTGAGTGAAAAGTTTAATATTATTGAGCCTCTTGAAGGTGAAGATTATCGGATGCTTCAGATTGCACACTATTTGAAAAAAAATTTTAATTTGAGACACGGATATTGCATAGCTTTCACATTTATTTTGCTGAATTCATGCAGTCACTCTTAATTTAAATTAATCTGATTGTTTTATAACATATATAGTTCACTAAGATCAAAGCATTCATAGTTCATATCCTTCAATTATGTTCTTGATACTCTCTTACTTTCATGTAAAAGAATTACAAATCTAATATATAATTCAACATTTCAGATGGTTGAATAATTTACATTTTTATTTTTGCATGTTATAATAGGGGAAAATTTTTACTGAGTCCTACAAGGTTTTTGCCATTGCTGATCATTTCTCTTACAAAAAAATTTTTTTATATTTGTAGGAAATTAAAGTAGTCACATCAATGGATCACTTTTATGGTTCAAATACTTCATTTTTAAATATTTGGTTTGTTCTCGACGAGGCAAATAACGGCAGTGAGTACAAACTCAATTCAGAACTCAGATATCACTGGTCTTAACGATGCAAGTGGCTCTAGAACCTCTAACAGACTTAAAGTAAAATAACAGTAATCACATCTCGCACGTTGGTCGGTTTTCTGATTGAAATAATTTTAAATATCACTGGCTTTTTATCTATTATCTATTTCTCTATTAAAAATTAATTGTCAAAAGGTTAGCATAGGAGAATTATATAAAATTCTTTCACGAACATGATTTTAAGTATTGGAACAAAACGTTTTTGCAAAATAGGTGGAATAAATTCATTAAAACATAGAGTATTAAAGAACATGAATTCGGAAAGTATCCTCAATGCAAATAAACTGCTAGTAGAGTTCAGTGAACATGCACCAAAATAGCTAACTCAAGAGCTTTTATCTGGGTGTTAGTGAATCAATCGTTCCATGAAAGAAATAAATGGCCATCAATGAATGGAGTCGTTGACTTAGTTAAATAAATGGTTTATATGAGGGATATAGTTCATGAACAACCCAAGATTACTTTAAAGTCATAAAAAACTTAAAAGATATTTTATGAATTAATGATTTTCTATTATGCTATTATGTTCATACTATTATGTTCTCTAACAGCAGAAGTAAAAATAATGAACATTGAGAATAAAGATTCATTGTTTGTTATTCTAAAACTAAAAATAGTTATATTTATATATTCTTTCATAGGTTTAAGATTATGATTTAGCATTAAGTGCGAATAACGATTCATATTGATTTTTATGACATTTTCCAAATCTTTATATTATTATTTTATTAATTATTAAGGAGTAGAAGTGAAAATTGCACAACAGCCGGTACTGCGGTCAGAAGAGACCTATTGTACCAGTTTCACTATTGATTAAACAAAGCCCCTTAAAGCTTTGTGAATAAAGTCTAGAACTAAATCAAGAGAAGAGTTCTTAATCTGTTCTGGTGACAGAAATTCTTTATGAAACAGGTTTCTTCTGTGCGTTGTTAAAGCTGGACAGTCGCAAAGAATGTGCATGGTCGTTTCCTCATCTTCGAGGCATAATCTGCATTCCGAGTTAGCAGATAATTGTAGTTTATGAAGGTGATATTTCAGGCCATAATGACCTGAAATGAAACCCGTTATCAACCTTAAATTACAATCTTTATATAGTAATCCTACTATTTTTCCACTTCAGTGTAATAAATACTCGTGCATGTTATACGTCAACGTTTTATAGTTTTAATAATGAACATTTTTGGCAGCATTAAAGTACTTTATGATAAGCTAAAGTTGTTAAAAAGTTTTTTATTATAAAATCCATAAAAATTATAACTATTTTACAACAGCGGCGGGTATTGGTATTAATGCAAATACCTCTCTACTTGAGAGGAGCGCAAGTAATTTTGAATATTCTGAAATCTGTTGGAGTCATAAAATGAAGTTCAAATTAAATTTCAAAATTTTGAGGAAAATGTTAAAATAGAGTTTTTATTACATAAACTTGTTTCAGTTAATAAAATGTAACAATGTTGTTTTAAATATTTATAAAAATAATTAACGAAATATTAATAAAAGTAACTTCATTTTGAATAAAAACTCATTAGTAATTGATTATAATAAAAATAATATAGCAAGAAGTTTTTTTTTAATGATTTTCCAGGAATTATACTTAAAAATTTTGATAATAAAATTAAAAACACTAAACACTAACCATTCTAACTGCTTGAACAGATAATAAATTGTTTCAGTTTGTACAATAACAAATCCATGGCATGCATCAGAGAGACTATTTGAACATAGAACTAAAATATGTCTTAAGAGCATTCTATAAAAGAACGAGCGACGGATCAATATTATCATACTTTTACAAAAAAAACCACTCAATAATAATGCTAGATACATAATAATATATAATTATAGATTATTATAGATACATAAACTGAAACAAATGAAACATCACAGTGCAGTTCTCTATTCAAGTTTCATATATTTAACTACTTCCTCATACAGAAGGTTTTATCAATCGAGAGTAACTTAGGTTGTTTACAGTGACTTGAAAGTTAAATGGATTTATGGTAATTTTCTTTCGAAGATTTATTGTGAGTTTCTATAGAGATCACGAAGACAGAAGTGCATCGATAAAATCAATTTTAGATTAAGTAAATAAGTTTCATTTCAGGTAACTCTAAAACAACAAGTTTAACATAATAACAACTAAACAAATGTGATGATGGAATTCTTTACTCAACATCGAAATTCGCTAAGGATATCCAAGTTCAATTATTGTATCAAAAAATAGTGATGCTCAGCAAAAACGGATCAACTTCATGAACTCTACATATTGTGTCTTAAGTATCAGATCCCTTATAAGCCTTTTTGTAAACTTTAAAACTTGTTTAGAGTAATTTGCTTTGATTTACCAACAATTAATGGGTCTTGTTTAAACACAATTCTTCTGCTGGAGTAAATTTTTTATTTGATGTTTCTGGCTCATCTAATTGCCAGAACTGCTAGATTGCCTTTTTAAGTTTGAACTAAGACAATGTAATTATGTCTCATAATGATTATGAGACGATTGAATTATGAATGACAGATCTGCTAGTTTAATATTGTTTGATTGTCCAAAGTTGTATTTGAGCTTAAGTCCAAAGATTTTTATTCCTTAAAGTAATCTTTTTACATAAATATGAAATAAGTGGTTATAAGACTTTCGTATTGATTCGTATATTTTAAATTATTATTTGTAAATATCCGTTGTTTCTAGCTACTTCTTGTGTAAGGAAATGTTGGATTATTCAGTTAATATTAATTAAAAACAAACAAAAAAAAACAAAAATAACACGAGCATGTATGGAAAAAATTAGAAACAGTTTTTTTCTCATATGTCTGATTTCCACAATAGTAAATATTACAAACAATTCATATCCTGACCTCTTGGTCTGCGATAGACTGGAAACTATTAATTATTGCCTTCAGTATAGAGAGATCCCTTCTATTTTTGGTCATCAGCAATTTTGCTCACTTAAAACTGCAACCCTACCATAATATCCTACTATATCCACATGGAATATATCATGTTGTATCTGATAAACGTGGCAGTCAATAACTTCTTGTTGCTCCCACATATATATAGGGGACGAACTACATGGATAAGTTTTTATTCGAAATGAAGGCGCCGATTCATTAAAAATAAAAAATTTTTTTATACTTTTCAACGGGTATGGAAACTTTGCTGTGACAAGTAGTCGAGAAACATGTAAAAATTTATAGATCTAAATAAGAATATATAGAAAAATACTAGGCGTCGTTGTTATTAACATAATACAGTCATTATTTGCGCTTATAATATACCATAAATAATGACCTTAATGACAATTCTTCATAATTTTGTTGGGAGTTTATTTAACAATTCTTCAGGCTTATGAATATATTGAAGCACCTTTTATAATTATTGATCCTGTTTTTGGGTCTACATTTTTTATAGCAACAGCATTTCATGGAATTCATGTATTAATTGGGACAACTTTTTAATTAATTTGTTAGTCTGTACAGATATACAGATTGTAACATATATATAGTATACATATGTTAGCATTTAACCATTATTCATTTAATATATATATAAAATTTGATGCTGAATTAAACTCACCTTCTTCATAAACGTCATAACATTTGTTGGCAACATTTTAAAGGTTTAATTATTTTAATTTTTTCCTTTGATTAAACTTTAAAAATAAAATATTTTTTCTATTTGATCCGATAACAGTTGCA